GCTGGTGAGGCTCCACTGGTGCCCCTCCTGGCTGCGGGCCCCTTCGGGTCACGCCCCTGCAAGTGAGGCCTCTCGAATGCCCCTCCAGCCATGCATGTGCTTCCTGGGTCACACACCCCATGAGCAGGCAGACAGGGCTGGAAGCTTTCACCTGAGGACACATCCAGCATGGCCACAGGTCAGCATGTGTCCCCCGGTGGTTAATGCCTCTGTGCCACCTCAGTGACACTCCTCCTGCATGACATGCCACCTGTATGTCCACAGATGGCATTCACGTGCCAGCCTCCCTCCTTCCTCGCCCCGCTGCCCTCCAGACCTACAGACACAGCTGCTCTGAGCACCCACATCCTGTGTCCCCAAGGGACCCTAAGTGCAAACAAAGCTCAAAACACCTTCTTTTGCTCCCCATCCTGTGTCCTTGGCTCGAAGCCAGGCACCCCATCTCAGATGCACTCCAAACATGGGCACCAGCCTTGACCTTCCCCCTTCCTCCCCTCTACATCTATGCCCTGGGGGTTCTGCTTCCCAAAATGCATCTTGAGTCTACCCAGCCCCGTGGCCCCTGCCTGAGTGCCTGCCCAAAGCCTCCCCCCCGGACCATGTCCCTGCTCAGCCCGGGCCCTGCGCCCACGGTGGACCCCCATGTCGACCACAAGCGGCACCTTGAGCCAGGCCCGTCCCCAGTGCCAGGTGCACAGCTGTGATTGTGCGCCACACACACCTTCAGGGGCTTGGCCAAGCTCTTAAAGCCACGCCCCACATCATCTCACCTTGTCCCGGGGACGAGGGAAGCTGGAAAGGACCAGAGAGACAAGTTGGGGTCAAGCCCCAGCTCTGCCCTCCAAGTGACCATGACTTCGGGCAAGTGATCTGCCTGCTCTGAGCCTCAATCATCACACAGCACCTGCCACACGGGGCCCGCAGGGAGGTCACGGAGATGACCCTGAACTCTACTCAATTGCAGGGGAATGTGCCTGCTACCAACACTGTCCCGAGAAACTGAAGTTCCTGCTTGGGGACCCGGATCCAATTTTGCAGACTCTCCCTGCCTCTGAGAGGCAGGCTGTGCGGGCGGCCCTCACCTGCCCGGCCTGCACGCAGCCCGCCCTTTCCTGGGGCTGGCTCCTTTCCGGGTGTCCCGCTCAAACAGGCCTTCTCAGTGTGTCCCAGCTCGGCCCCGTCAAAGGACCCCTGTGTGAGCCTCAAACGGGCCATTGATAGGGCCGGAGTGAGGGCTGCCCAGTGGCTGGTGGGCTGGCTTGGCTTGGTCAGGCCACGCGACTTCCCCAAACCCAGCTATTTCCTGTTTCTCGGGCCAGCCTTCTCCCGGCCGCCTGGCCACAGGGCACAATCCCTCACTGTACATCGCGGTCTGCCTCTTGGCTTCAGCCCAGGAGGGCCAGGGGTCAGGAGAGTGTCACTTCAGCTGGTGCTCCGGACACACGGCCACGGCCCCCAGGGTCCTCCTGATGAGGATGCAAGGCTGGGGACAAGAGCAATCCCCTCCCCCCTAAACTCTTACCGCAGTGCTCATTTGACGGGGGCTCCTGCCCCTTTACTTGGATCTTCTTGAGAAACCAGAGCTCACGCATGCTGGGTCCTTGAACCTTCCTGGCAGCCCCCACTGTAGTAGAAAAAAAGCACAGGGTCTAATCTCTGACGGCTCTGTGGCCTCGGGGGAGCCTCTTGATGTCTCTGGATCTCAATTCCTTCAGGTGTGAATGGCAGCTTGCTATCCATGTCCATCAGAGCGAAGCTATCAGTTCCTCGGGGACAAAGGGCAATAAAAGCCATGAAGAGTGGCCCCTGGGGGGGCTCAGCTGGTTGAGCATGGACGTGATCTCACAGTCGTGAGATCGAGCCTTGCATCAGGCTACATACTGGATGCGGAGCCTGCTTGAGATTCTCTCTCCTTCCTTCGCCCCCACCGTCTCCCTCGGTCCCTCCCCTGCTTGCATCAGCTCTCTCTCTCTCTCTTAAAAAAAATATACAAGTATAATTTTAAAAAACAAAGAAATAGGGGCTCCTGGGTGGCTTAGTCGGTTAAGCGTCAGACTTTCGCTTAGGTCATGATCTCGCGGTTCGTGGGTTCGAGCCTCACGTCGGGCTCTGTGCTGACTGCCAGCTCAGAGCCTGGAGCCTGTTTTAGTCTGTGACTCCCTCTCTCTCTGACCCTCCCCTGCTCACGCTGTCTCTCTCTCTCTCCTAGAAATAAATAAAAAAACATTAAAAAATAAAAATAAAAAACAAAGAAATGTCCCAAGAAAAGCTGACAACTCCTTCCTCAGCCTTCCTGTGGCTCCCTGCCTCCACTCTCATCCTTCCTACAGCCCAGACCTGGGACCCTGTCGGTCAGGTGACCATTCAAGGCTTTGTCCGTCCGGTGACCAAGCCCAACTCAAGCTGCCCCCGGGCTCTCTGTCGACTTCACTTCCAGGCAGGCCCTCAGCCGCTCAGCCTCGGAGGCTGAAGGCCAGAGGTGGATGGAGAGAGAAAAAGAGATTATTGAAGAATTTGATTCCTAGGTCCAGCCATGACCAAAGCCAGAAATCTCTGGACTTTTCATTTATGTGAGCCAAGAACTATCACCACCACCTTTTTTTTTTTTTTTTTTTATTAAGCTGGTTCACTAAGGCTTCTGTTCCCGGCAACCATGTCCCTCCTGCAAACACCCGTCTCGGCCAAAGTGAGCCAGGGTGGGCTCGCGGCCAAAGGGCTCTAATGTCTGCATGATCCAGGCGCCACGACCCTGCCAGGCTCCCCGGCCCCACCTGCAGCCGCACCGGCCTGCCCACTCCTCCTCTCCCCACCTCCGCCGGGGCCCTCCGCATCCTTCCCCTGCTTTGTTTACTGCGGATTGTTCCAGTTCAGCCTAGTGAGAGGCCCTCCAAGGGGTCTTCGGCGACTGTAGGGCCTCTGGGACTCCCCTGGTCGTGGGCTATTGTAATCACTATGGTCTGGCTCCCCCCACCCCAGACCATGGGCCGCTGGAGCAAGTCTGACCCATTACGGTCACCCCTGGTTCCCAGCACAGGACCTGAGTGCACATAGACACTCTCCAGGCGAGTGGAGTTCACACCTTGTCAGGGGACATCAGGGTACGTGTGCAGTCCATGACTTGTGATCAGTGCAGGGTCATGACCCTCTGTAGCTGAGCATGGCCCCTGTGAATTTCCAGACTGAACGAGACTTTGTGTATGTGAGTGTGTGAGTGTGTGAGTGTGTGTGTGTGTGTGTGTGTGTGTGTATGTTGGAGGAAACTCACAGAGCTCCCAGCCCTGCCTACACCACATTTTAACAAATCACATTAGGGGCGCCTGGGTGGCTCAGTCAGTTGAACGTCCAACTTCGGTTCAGGTTGTGATCTCACAGTTCATGAGTTTGAGCCCCGCACTGAGCTCGCTGCTGTCAGCACGGAGCCTGCTTCGGATCCTTTGTCTTTGTCTGTCTGTCTGTCTGTCTGTCTCTCTCTCTCTCTCTGCCCCCCCTCCCCCCGCTTGTGTGCTCGATAGCTCTCTCTTTCTCTCAAAAATAAACAAACAAAAGAATCACATGGGGGCGCCTGGGTTGATTGTCTGACTTGGGCTCAGGTCATGATCTCACGGTCCCTGAGTGTGAGTTCGAGCCCCGCATCGGGCTCTGGGCTGACAGCTCAGAGCCTGGAGCCTGCTTTGCATTCTGTGTCTCCCTCTCTCTCTGCCCCTTCCCTGCTTACACTCTGTCTCTGTCTTTCTCTTTCTCAAAAATAAATAAACATTAAAAATATTTAAAAACTTTTTTGAAATTTCAAATATTTTAAAAAAAATATTTGAAAACATAAAAAAGAATTACATCAGCCAAAGAGAAGCATGATGCTGCTTTATTGAAATGTATTCCCCGTCGCACACAAAGCAATTCTACAAGGGGGTGCTGGCAGGGACCCTCTTGCACAGCCCTCTCCCTCTGTATCCCCCTCTCAGACCCCAGAGAACCTGTCTCCATGGCCCTGTCTCCGCCTTGGGGTCAGCTTCCTCGGGAATCCCGGAAACAGGAAAAAGAGGGAGTGTTGGGACCCAAACCTTCCCTCTGCCGTCACCAACACGAGCGCCCAGGGCAGGGTCTGCACCCACAGGGTTTGTCTGCTCTGAACTAACATGTGGATTTAGTCTGACAAATGGACCTGCCTGGCATCAGCGCTAAATTTCTGCTTAAGCACAAGCATTGGGCCGGACTGAGTCCCCTATGTGGGAATTGGTGACGGAGGGGCCATCCTGCGGAATGGACTGGCGCCTCACGGCCGGCCCCCACTGCTGCGTGACTCCACGGACCACGTGTGGCCAGTTGTTGGTGATGACGACTCTCCAGCAAAGCAATCGTGTGTCGGGACAGTCCCATGATGGAAACAACTGTTATTTCCTGGAAGTGGCTCCTGGAAGATGTTTGACAACTGCCTGAATTTTTATTTGAATGAACAATTTATTCAGTCGCTCGGCAGTACCAAATTGACCAGAGTGGGTGCCCAGTTATTGGACTTGATTGCATGGAATGGCTTGGGGGCTAATTTGATTTGTATCATTATTATTCTTATTGAATTTTGTCCCTCATGGTTGGCTGGCCGAAACAGCTGAAACAAGCGATCTGAAAAAATTGGAGGTCTGGGCTTGGTGGGGGGGAGGACTTGTCTGTCGTGTGAATAGAAAACTGCCTAAAAGCCAAGGCGAAGGGCTGTTGCTACCTCCCTGCCCTGAGAAGTGTGTTTTTGATCAGTCAGCCTCGTGGTTCAACTGGTCAAGGTGCGAGCTGTTTAACCAAACCCACTGAATTTAGAACGACGAGCGGTTGAAACAAAGGTTAGCGTTGATCAAAATAAGTTGAGGTTTGTTGGAATTTCTGAAAGACTCAAGGAGTCCGCCAGCCACAAGTGACAACCCCGTTGTGAGCATCCATCTCCCGGGCCCCACAGGAAAAGCAGGCCGGTGGGCAGGGGGGACATGGGCCAGTTGTCCGGAAGTCAGCCGGGCAGTTCACCCCGCGGCCGCAGGGGCCACCAAAGCGAAGAAGAAGCGGATTGCGAGATAACTCCGCCCTTCCCAGCAGCAGGCCTGGGGCCTGGCGGACATCACACCTCCGAGTAGGGGGGTGGCGCTGGGTCCCCGTCTGGAGTCTTGTATGGCAGAGACATAGCTTCCTCGTAGGTCGGCAGGACCACCTGGGAGCGACAGAGAGATGAGGGCTGAAGATCGGCCGGAAGGAACCAGGCTCCCAACCTGGAGCCCAATGCCCACCTCTGGCCAAATGAATAATGATGACCAGCACCTTGTACACCAAGTACCCTGCGTACTTACTGTGCATGCACGAGGCAGGTGTAGGGTCTATTCCTATGGGAGACAGGCTTGCCTCTACCTGTTCAGCCTCAAGCCGCCTTGTTTGGGTCACCATGCACTGTTTTCCCTGGGAAAACGTTCTCGGTCCACATGCTTTCAGAAGTGGTCCCACCCCTTAAACCCAAGGTGGGGGGACATGGGACCCCTACGGCCACGCCAAGTAGAATTTCATCCCCCCTGGCTATCATCCTTGGTTTGGGGACAGGCTTGTGACCCAGGCTGGTCCATCAGACAAGCTGCTGGGACTTTCTGCTGGGGTTGCCGGGAGGGTGGGACGTCAACCTAGGGACTTTGGCAGCCGTTTTGCCACCACAAGGAAAGGGCTAGTGCAAATGGAGCGAACACTGAGAAGAGGAGAGTCAAGGGATGGAGAGAGTGAGATCGCACCTCCATGTCACAAGTCAGCCAGCCCGAGCCAGCCTTACACTGGACTTTCAAGTCCTGGGAGCTAATAAATTCCCTTTTTGCACTGGAGTCAGACCGAGTTGGTTTCTGCCATTTGCAACCAAAAGAGTCTTGACTAAAACAATCCCCATTTTACAGGTGAGGAAACTGACACCGGAAATTTAAACCAGCTGCACTTGGCCGGTCACATCTCCAATCGGCTGCTTCTAAGTCCACCCCATCCCTCTGCCTAGAAGGCCCCTTCCCCTGTTCCAGCTAACTTGTATCAACTGACAGCCTAAGACTTGGTCAAGTGTCACCTCTTCCAGGAAGCCTTCCCTGATACCCCAGATGAGGCCAAGTACCTCCTCTACGCTGTCATTCCCCCATGCTTCACCCTGAGTTGCAATCAGGTCTCTGTATCTGGATTCACTCTGGGCTATATACCCCCGCCTCCAGCACAGGGTAGCATCTTAGTCTTCTAGCATCCCCAGGGAGGGGGAGAGGCTTGCCCCAAATGACACAGCAAACGGCAGGGCTGAACCTGCCCCGGCTCACCTTCTGGAGCCCCTTGGAGCCGCTCCTCTCCTCGGCTGAGTTCATGTACTTCATGAATTTGTAGCATCTCCACACACACTTGAACATGTAGACCTGGAAAAAGAGCCGGGTCAGGTTCTGCTTTGCTGACCCTTCTTCCCGCTGTCCCAGCGCATCCAGGGCCTCGGCTGGGCACTTCCCGGGGACCCCCAGCTCCGCCCGGAAGGCAGCATCCAGCCGCTGCTTCTCAGAGCCCTGTTCCAGTTGAGGGGTGCCTCACCGGCCAGCCCCAGGTGCTCCAGACCTAGTGCAGAAGGGGGCTTCTGGGGGCTTCCGGGTCCCCCTCCAGCCTCCCTGGCAACGGTCATACAAATCGTTCTTCTACACCCCCTGCCAAGGCGGGAAGCTCACTACCTCCTGAGACGGCCCTGTCCTTCTTGAACCAAGGATGATGGTGGGAAACCTTTTCTTCCAAATTGCTTAGGATATGTCATTCTTTAGAACAGATTACAAAACAGTGTAGGCAGCAGTATCCGTGTCTATAAGTGCAGAAAAACTACATGCGCAGATGTAGACATCTGGCAGATGATGTGAGCAACTGGTTCCTCTTAGTGGCTGATGTAAGACCTGGGGGGTGGGGGGGTAATGAAGCCCCGGAGAATCTGTTCAAGAGACAATAGCCAATAGGCCTCTCTCTGCCCCTAAAGGGAGGAGAGTGGGTCTTGGGAAGCTCTCTTGTTTTACGGGATGGAATCCGGTGATGGGGACGCAGAGGTGGCGGGGAATGAATAAAATGAATTACAAAAAAATGAAGTGGGAGGGGCCTGGAAAACTAGCAGGGGGCGGGTGGCCAGGGAGGCAGCGTGTGGGACCCTGGGGGGTAAAGAAGGGGGGCTGTGTGGTGAGCCTCGGGGAGCTGTTCTCCAGCACTGTGTGTGACGTCAACCCCCGAGCCGGTCCCCCCAAGCCTTCCAGAAAGTTCTCATTGCACCTCACTAAAGCCCTTGTGCCGGGTCGGCCCTTAGAGGGAAGGTTCAAAGGAGTGCAGTTCTATTTCCAGGCTGCCTTAAAGGAGGCAGTGACATCCGGTTACACAGAAAGACAGGGAGGAAATGCACCCAGATATGGGGACGTGGTCCCTGAGGGTGGTGGGTGGTGAGCTGACTGCCTCCTTTCTGCTCATCTTTTCAGAAGCAGAAAAGAACACTTTAAAGTTCTGCGGAGTTGCCGTCAGCCTCCCCGTGGCTCTGGGTGATGGGTTCCAGGGCTGCCTCTGGAATCCCCATGACGGTCCTTCGGGTATTTGGAGGCAGTGATCGTGTCCCCCTTGACTCATCTCTTTTCTCAGCTGGATCGCCCTGGTTTCCTCGGCCCCCTCAGGTGACAGGGTTCTTATCTCTCCACCCTCCTGGTCATGCGGCTATTAACACACTCCAGTCTGGGACCTGACAGGGGACTCTACCCTCTGGGCCGGACCACCCCAGAGAAGAATAAAACCATTCCCCTCCCTCCCTCATCACCAAACCTCTAGTAATATGGCCTCAGGACCCATCTATTTTGGTGCTTGAGTCATATAAACCCGTGACAGGGGCAAAGCAATATTAATTATGTCCTTTTCACAGATGATAGCCAAGGCCCAGAGAGAAGTGGCTGGAACACCAACTACACAGCTAGCAAGGGGAGAGCTGGGAGTCGCATCCAAGACTTTCTTTTTTTTTTTCTTTCTTTTTTTTTTTTTAAATGTTTTATTTATTTCTAGGAGAGAGAGAGACAGCGTGAACAAGGGAGAGTCAGAGAGAGAGGGAGTCACAGACTGAAACAGGCTCCAGGCTCCGAGCTGGCAGTCAGCACAGAGCCCGACGCGGGGCTCGAACCCACGAACTGCTAGATCATGACCTAAGCGAAAGTCGGACGCTTAACCGACTAAGCCACCCAGGCGCCCCACATCCAAGACTTTCTGAATCTAGTTCCAAACCGAACACCTCCTCCTTTCCTGGATGAGGGTCTCTCCCGGTTACATGTTAAGTCCTTGACACCTGAGCGCGGGTGGTCTTCGAGGATCCCCTCCCTGTCAACGGGATGTTCCCAGGGAGCCCAAGTGGGGCCCAAGGAGCCAGTGTGGGCGGGCTTGGGCTTTCCCAGAGCTGTGGGGCGGGGCCTCTCACCTTCAGGATGAGGACGGTAATGAAGGCGACGGAGAAGATGATCATCATCTTGATGAACTGGCTGTGGGCCACACTCTCCTGGCTGGGGAGGTAATTCTGCAACAGATTTGGGGGCCGAGTCAGTGCCTCAGCCCTCAAGGAACCCTTCCAGCGTCCGCGCGCGGAGAAATGACACGGCATGACAGCGAGCTAAGCATACCCGCCCAGTGGTCCTACCCGGCTGGAGCACCCGTCCCCCGGCTGCACTGGGGCCACTGGATGCCCTTCTCCAGAGGGCAGAGCCACCCAGTCTGAAAGTACCTGGGAGGGACGTCCCAGCCATGCCAGTGAGCCATCTTGGGAGTGAGCCCTCCTGGCCCAGTCAAGCCCTTGGCGTCCACAGCCCCCACCCCTGCCTCAGGGGTAACCTCATAAGACACCCTGACAATCCAGCTAAGCCTCGCCATTCCAAGTCACTACTTCTGGGGACAATTTCCCAGACAGCTATAAAAAGATGAATATTATCTCTGCGACACAATTCACACACCAGGGCACCCTCTGGGATCGAGCAGGGACGCTCCCAAAGTCGCACGTCCGTCTGGCTTCTTTGCTTTGTCTCTCCTGCTTCTCTGACTCCTTTACTTTTTTTTTTTAAAAAATTTTTAACTTTTATTTCTTTTTGAGAGACAAAGAGAGACAGAGTGTGAGCAGGGGAGGAGAAGAGAGAGAGGGAGACACAGAATCTAAAGCAGGCTCCAGGCTCTGAGCTGTCAGTACAGAGCCCGACATGGGGCTCGAACCCATGAAGTGTGAGATCATGACCTGAGCCGAAGTTGGATGCTCAACCAACTGAGCACCCACGCGCCCCTAATGTTTATTTATTTTTGAGAGAGAGACAGTGCAGGCAGGGGAGGGGCAGAGAGAGAGAGGGAGACACAGAATCCAAAGCAGGCTCCAGGCTCTGAGCTGTCAGCACAGAGCCCCACACAGGGCTCGATCTCACAAACCACAAGATCATGAGCTGAGCGGAAGTCGGATGCTTAACCGACTGAGCCACCCAGGCGCCCCTCTCTGACTCCTTTTCAAGTGACTTCCAGAGAGCGCTCCCTCAATAAATCACTCGCATAACAAGAGTCCGCCTACCCCAGGCTCCACTTAGGTAGGGAGCCCAGCCTGAGCGATGAGGCACAGAGAGGGCAAGCAGTTTGCTGAAGGCCACACAGCCATGATGCGAGCGCCCCCCAGCCCTGACTCACCATGTGGTTCATGGCCTTGAAGTTGAGATAGGTGGGCACCTCCATGTAGGAGCTGCAGAGGGTCAGGACGCTCAGGCAGAAGTCCAGCAGTTGCAGCGCCATCAGGGGGACCTTGGGGGTGCCCTGGGGAGGGCAGAGGAGGCAGGAGGAAGGAGACAACCGGCGATGAAGCCCTGACCCAGAGGTCCCCGCGTTGTGGGGCACGCAGTGCTCCCTCAGCCCAGAGAGTCAGCCAGGGATGCCAGTGACTGTCTAGCCCACAGCACCCGGAAAGAGACGGACGCCCGTTTCTCAGATTCCCGCCAAGGGCTGGCAGCCGGCCCGGGGGGCTCCTGATGCCCAGCCTGCGTCCAACTACTCAGTCTCTTCCAGGGCAACAGTTAGGGGAAGTTTGAAGATCACTTTTGGGGCGGCGAGTCAGGGACTGGCACCCTCTGTCACGGGATATTCGCCCTCAGCATTGGCTTCAATCATCTTTACCCTCCTTCCTTCTGCTCGGTCGCAAAGGAGGGACAAAGCAGGGGCTGGAGGCTGAGATGGGCATGCGCCCTCCCTGTGGCTGGTTACCCGCAAGGTGCTGAGCCCCCTGTATACACTTCCCTCACTTGATGCCCGTGACACATGCTGATGTGCCGTCACAGGCATGTTTTACAGAGGAGGAGACCTGGGGTGATCTGACTGGGCTTGGGCTCATCACCTCCGGAGGGGCCCGGGGGACTCCCCCCCTCACCAGCCTGAGCCTCTATCACCTCCCCGGGCAGGGCCGGTCATGGGACGTGGGTCAGGGCTGGGTACTCACCGCCCGGCTGCTCCGGGAGGCAAACTTGAGGTAGGAGGGCAGCTCGATGTAGGAGCCCAGCAGGGTGAGCAGGCACAGCAGGAAGTCCATGATTTGCAGGGACAGGAAGGGCAGCAGGTATTTCTCCCGGTTCTGGAAGACAGGCCCGGCACAGTCAGGGAGCCCTGCGCAGCCAGACGCCCCCCAGGGACCCCCACCCCCATCACCGGCAGCTCCCTTCCCTGGGGAGTATGGCCCTCTCCCTCCTGGATCGGCTGAGGTCATTCCCCATGGACCCATGTGCCCTCCTCTGAGGGAGGTTCTGGGGATGAGGGAGAAGGTCAGCCCCAGGCCCTGAACGCAAGGCATCTCGATGTCCCAGGAGACACGGGGAACATTCCCATCTACAGAGATAAGCGCCCCCGGGGCCTCCAGGGGCAGGGTCTGACCCAGTTTGCTCTCAAGAACCCATTTCACAGATGAGGAGGGATCAGAGGGAACTTCCTGGACGTAGGGATGCTAAGGCTAGATCTGGAAAGAACCATGAGGGAAATGGGAGGCTGATGGAGGCAGAAGAGGGCTGAGCAAAGTCCGGGGGTGGGGAAGAGTCTGCACTGGGCGGGACCCTTCCCTGTGTGACCACTCCCAGGGTGTTCCTTCATGGTTAGAGCCCCTGGGAGCCTGAGGCTGGAGTCCCTCTCCTTCAACTGAAAGCTAGTGACTCCGGTGGCCAGTATGAGTGCATTTGAACCTGCTGTTGGGGACAAAATCACAGGGGGGGTGGCTTTGTGGTCTCCCAGATGGCTGGCTAAAATCACTCAGGAGGCCACCAGAACAACCCAGGCTCAATCTCAGAGCCTTCCGGGACTCCCTGATCCACTTTTCTAGCCGGACCACTTGCGCTGCTGCTCAAGCACCCCGGGAGCCCGCTCTGCACGGGGTAAAATCCTTCCCAAAACTCTCTTGCTGGGTCAGGCTCTGGCAGCTGTGTGGCGAGGCCCTGGTTTCCTGTCCCCTGGGGGCCCAGGGACAGTCTGTCTGTCTCTCTGTCATCTGCTCGCTGGGTGGAACGGAGCTGGAGGCGTCTACACTCCCCTCTGTTCTGGTTCCTCTCACTGAGGACAAAACGCACTGCCTTCTCCTCTGTCCCCACGCCTCAGAATGACCCTTCCTCTTTCCGCTGTCAAAACTCCCTGCTTGCATTTGCAGCTCACGAGCATATGGGTCACCAGCTATGACAACCAGAGCATCGGTGCGCGAGCCCCCACCCAGGGAGCGTGCATTTTAATGGGGAACCAAGGCCTCCAGCCCGAGGAGCCTGGCATGGAAACGAGGCTTTCCAAACAGTAAGTAAGCGTGAAGATCTCTAGGGTGAGGGGCGGGGGAGGGGGTCCCAAAATACCCAGCTCCCACCCTTTGACAGCCAGTGCTGCCCACTCAGTGGGTGTGAACAGGAAGGGGGGCGGGAAGGCATCTGGGGGTTCCTTGCCAATCCCCAGGGCCCCACCCCCTCCCCCTCCCCCTCGCCCAACCAAGCTCTCACCTTGACCACTCCAATCAGCAGACTCAAGCTGATGACAAAGAGCATGGTGATGAGCAGGAAGCTGGAGATCAGGTTGGCTGAAAGGCAAGGGAGAGCAGTGAGCGGCCCAGAGGTGCCCCCGGGAACCCCATGCAGGTTCTGGGGACCACATATTGGGAACCACTGGTGTGGTGTGGCTGTGACAATGAAGGAGCAAGCCCAGGCCCTGGCCTCCTGCAGTTCTCAGTCTTGGGGACCACAAAGACAGGACATTTCGGGCAACACAGGTTGCAGGGTGGGAGGGTGGCCTGGGTCTGCTCTAGCCAGGGCGAGATCAGGGAGGGCTTCTGAGGAGGTGGCCTGTCTGGGACAGGGCTGAGCTCGGTGGGGTCAGCACCGCTGGGGCAGGGAGCAAAGGGATGCTGCACAGTGCAGCCGGACAGGTTCTCAGAGGCCAGGTCCCACCGCCGGGAGGTTCCAGTTTATTCCAGCGTTGGGGGCAGCCATTGACAGAGGCGTGAGGGGACAACATCACCAGCCCAGGCTGGTTAGGTTTGCCAAGCACCAGCCCCTCTGCTCTCCCACCTAGAGACTTGGGTGGGGACAGATCTCCATTTGCAGATGAAAGATCTGAGGCTCAGAAGGGAAGAGGCAGGGCATCAAACCCCAGCAGGGTCCTACCTACAGCCGAGGGGGGGGGGGCCCCCTGGGTCCCCTCCCCCTCCTGCCAGACCTACCGAGCCTGAGGTAGCCTGTCTGCCAGGCCTTGCAGGAGGCCTTGCCGTGGGCCACCTCCACCGAGTGCTCGATGAACAGCAATACACTCATGATCTGTGGGCAGACAGAGCGACCATCAGCGAGGCCCGCACACCCCCACCCCTGCTCCCTCCCACCCTGGTAGCAGGCAATCCGGGGCCTGTGAGGAGGTTCCTGGAGGAGATGGAAGGCCAGGCCCATGGAGCATCCTGGGTAAAGGTGTGGCCTAAACAGAGAGACAGCTCAAGCCCATAGTCCTCCTTCCTGTTCCCTGCTGTGTGAGCTTCATCTAGTTACTCAGTCTCTCTGTGCCTCAGTTTTCCCATCTGTAAAATAAGGATCGTACTAGTAGCTACCTAAGGTTATTATGAGGAGTAAGTCAGAGCATCTTGGGAGAGCACTTAGAACCATGCCTGGTTCTTGATAAAACAATAACTGTGACTGTTGAAGGTCAAGGTTGGCAGGGAGGGGCCTGAGGTCCGCCACCAATGACTGGTCCCTCTTCTCCCCCGTTTTTTATAACAACAGGCTCTGGGCATGATGGGATCTTAGTCACGGCATCTGAGTACATAAAGCTTCAAGCTCTTGGAATTCTCAACACAGGCCTGAGAGCACCTGCTCCATGAATCCCGGGGAGCCCTATCAATCCCGTCCCCCAGGTGCCCTCAGTTTCTCCATCTGCAAACTGGGGATAATAATGCCTGCTTCACAGGGTTGTAGTGGGGCCAGATGGAATAATTCACTTATGCTTACTATTGTTATTGCTATTATTTCCACTGGACTAGAGGTTCCAAGCAGGGAAGGCTTGTGTCTTTCTTGCTCACTGCTCTAGCTATCATATTGAATGGATGGGTGGATGGGTGGGTGGATGATTGATTGATGGATGGATGGATGGACAGATGGACGGATGGATGATAGATGGATGGATAGGTGGATGGACGGATGGATGGATGGATGGATGATGGATGGATAGATGGGTGGATGGATGAATGGATGATGGATAAATGGATGGGTGGGTGGGTGGATGGATGGATGGATGGATGGATAGGTGGATGGATGGATGGATGGGTGGATGGATGATGGATAGATGGGTGGATGGATGGATGGACGGACGGATGGATGGGTGGATGTATGGATGGATGATGGATGGATGGGTGGATGGACAGATAGATGGATGATGGATGGATGATGGATGGATAGACAGACAGACTGACAAATGAACAAACCTCATCCAAATCTGATAGGCCTGAGTGTTGTGGCCCTGGTGACAATTGAAGTCCAGCCACAAAACTGCACTTTGAAAGGACCTTGGACATGATCTTGCCTGTGCCCTCTGCCTTCCAATGCAGGATTCCTGTGCCATGCAGCCTCTATTTAAGTACTTCTACTGTGTTCAGAACACGGTCTCCAGGCACCATCCGCCCACACTGAGAATCACCAGACTATCTCCTTCCTTGTAGTGGTTGCCCTACCTCTATTAACATGGCGTGAGTTTACACTGGCTTTCTGGGGGGCCCTGCACTAGTCACTCATGCTCAGCTGACACCTACCATCTGTTTCCCCCTTGCTGATTATGTGGTTTGTTTTTTTTAAGTTCAGACACAGGTCTCAATTTGTCTTCCTGCCATGTTACATTCTGTTCACGGGGGCACTAAGGGACAGAACCGGAGAGCGGTGAAGAGCTGAGCTCCAGGTCAGACAGAGGTGGATTTGAATCCAGATCAGTATGTGACCTTGGGCAAGTCATTTCACCTCTTGGAACCTTCTCATCTGGAACCTGGCAATCACTGGACTTTGTAAGGAATAGCATGGTGTTTGCAAAACACCAAGCCTGGGACCTGCAGTGGGGGCTCAGCAAACACACTCTGCTTTTGGCTGATGTGAGCTTACATGAGGTGGTGGAGCGGTACCAGGAGCAGGGTGCCAGGGGCTGGACAGCGAGCTCGCTCTAGCTGCCCCTTCTACCTGGTGCGAGCTGACCCAATAAAAGGCTTTGTTTCACCAGAAAGGTAGAGAGCAGCCCCGAGCGGAAGGCAGATACTGTGGGGGCTGTGGCTGGCACCCACAGGAAACAGCCCCAAGAGTAAAGAGCTGCTTCCCCAGCCCCGAAATGCTGGGGTTTCAGCCCCTTGCACCCCGCCTCCATTTCACCTTTAATGAGGGAAGGAGGAAGGGAGGTAGATGAAAACTTCATCCAGGAGAGAATAGGGCACCCTGCAAGGTGGTGAGCTCCCCATCCCTGGGGGTATGAGAGCAAACCATGGATAAGATGCAGCTGGGCTTAGAAGGGCACGTGGAAAGTCCCAAACGAAGCTCAGCATCAGACAATCCTGACCTCCAGCTGCTCAAAAGAGCCTCTACCCCACTCATTTTATAAGCTCCCTCTGCTTGTTTTAGGAGCTTGTTTTAGAGGTTAGGGGGCTTGCCCAAGGACATACAGCAAGTTGGGGACAGAGTGGAGACTGGAGGCCAAGTCTCCTAGGGCCTTCCTGATTCCTTGGCTCACACCCTGCTCCCCAAACCTCAGTGCCCCGTTAGCCCGTACCCCAGAGAGGGCAGATATTTTGACCATGTACCTGGGTCAGTAAAACCTTTTGAACATACTCCTCTATATTTCTTTATTTCAAAACCTTATGCACGTGCCACTGTTCTGGTTACCATGAACATTATCACATACACACACACACACACACATCCAGAAGTTGATAAAGAATATAGTGGAAATTTTTGGAAACCCTAATACTGTCATCCTGAGGCCCCTGTGGTCACCTCGGGCATCACCGCACTTTGGAGACCAAGGCTAACCCACAGCTGTCTCCAGTCCTTCAATTCTGGCCCAAAACATGGCTCACAGCCCTGCCACTGTGCCTGCGATCCTGCTCTTGGCATCACAGCCGCCCCCTCCCGCCCCACCCCTACCCTATCCTGTGGCCCTGAGAAGAGGAGGGAAGGGCAGGGACACGTGTATGCCCTCCATGCGACCCACACCATCCCCACAGTCCTCCCACACCCAGCAAAGGAACTCTTCCGAACACTCCCACCCCCACTTCACAGATGAGGAAAGGGAGGCTCCGAGAGGTCTAGTGACTTGCCTGTGGCCTCCAGCTGGAAATCTCTAGGGCTAGGATTCAAACCCAGGCCAATGGGCCCTAGGTTTGATTCCTTCTTCCACTGTCCTTCCAGCCCCTCCTAACCTCTTCCTGCCTCTGCTGGAAGCCTGGCCCGCCTCTCCGCCCCCATGCCTGCGCCCCAGGAGGGCAGAGTCAGAGGGGCACCACCCCCTCTCTGCCTGCAGTTTGTGCAAGGTCAGCAGGTGCCAGAAGTGGTCTTCCTTGTGTAAGAATCGCCTGTGTTTAAAACCAGGCTCAGCCTTCCCTCCATCCCACCTTCTCAACAGCCCTGCAAGGGAGGGAGATCATTCTGTGCCCATTTGCTGGGTGAGAGCACTGAGGCCCGTAGAAGGCAGGAACCAGCCCAGAGCCAGGCAAACTTAGAATCTGACTCAGACTCTCTGCCAGCCCCCTGACCTTCAGCAGAAGACACTGGCCCCAATCCAGGAGAAAGATAGGAGCCTCAGCTCCCTAGGAGACGGGATGGGGAGGAATTGACATTTATTGAGTACCTACTGTGTGCTCAGACCTACACACACAGGCTTACATTGCAGTCTCCCAAAACCCTGCCAGAGAAGCAACATTTTCCCCATTTTACAGATGAGAAAACAGAGGCTCACAGAAGAGAACTTACATGGCCACCAGGGATCTGAACCCTGTTGCCTGGGCTCCCAGGGTCCAGGGTTCCACCCAGGGCTGAGGGGGCCTGGCCCCTGGTCTTACCATCTGCCCACCCTCCCCCCGGCAGCTCTGGACACCTCCAACCCAGGGCCACCAAAGGCCACCCTCACTGCCTCACCTAACCCTGGCCAGGTCCTGACTCCTCCCTGCCCTCGGCTTACCCGCTCTGGTCAATGAGGAGGGTCACCCCCATGTGCGCCCCTCCTTGCAAACTAGGGCATGTCACACCTAGGCCGCCCAGGGTTGCCCACCTGGAGCTGTGCTCTGCTCATCCGCAGGCCCTCACCGCTCCACCCAAGCCCCCAACCAAGAGCCTTTGAGGTTCCCGGAAATTAACTAGTGATCCTACTGTGTACACTGGGAGGGACCCGGAGACCCCAGGATGTCCCGATGTCCCGGGCCCCTGGCCCTCACCTTCCCTCGCCCCTGCCACACCCCTGCTGCTACCCCCCTGGACAGAGAGCTGCCTTCTCCCAGAGCTCTGAGGGTCTGGCTGGGCCCTGGCCCACGACCCCCTGGGACAGGACAGGGCCCCTCTCCTCCCACAAGCCCGCTCCTCCACCTGTCCCCCCTCTCCCCCGCAGCAGCACCTTTCTCCCTGCCTTTCCTCTTCAGCGGTGGGATCAGGCAAGGAAGAGCCAGGGCGCTTGGATCGGGTGGTCGGGGTCCAACCCAAGCTCTGTGCCCTTGAGCAAGCCACTAACCTCTCTGAGCCTGCCTCCTCGTCTGGGAGATGGGGACGTTAACCAGATTCGCCCCGCGGGGTGGCTGTCAGGTCAAATGACATGGCAGCGTGGGGCCCAGCCTTCCAGCAGGGGCTCCATAAACAAATACGGTCGGGCAGTGTGCATTCGTCTGTGTCGGCATTCATTCACTCCCTGTGTTTGTTCGTCCAGCAAAGGCTCTCTGAGCACATAACGGCCCCAGGTGCTCTCTAGCTAAGCCACTCATCCTGGCCTGGCTTGCTGGTGGCACAGTCCCTGGGTGTGAACCATGCGTGACCTGTGTGTTCAGAGTCACCACAAAGGACATGCAGAGGACTGAGGGTCCCTGATGAGGGAGTGATCACCACTGTCTGGAAGACTCAGGGAGGGTTTCACCAATGGGAAAAGTGAGTAGGGTTTTGAAGGATAGGTAGGAGTTTCCCAACAGAGAAGAGAACAAAGCATTCCAGGAAGAGGGACTGTCATATGCAGAGGCCCAGAGGCTGGCAATGCAGACCCAGGGAAATTCATGGGCAGGGATGCCGCCCCGCGGTAGGGGATGTTACCAACGGGCAAGTGA